ACCATTATTTCCACAAGTGGCTAGGTCTCCAATTACACATTTTAAAGTTGAAAAGTCAAACGAAGATAATCATTGTTGATAAAACGGAGCATTTAGTAGAAATTTTAGCCACTTTCATCTCATTTGAATGAGAACTACAGGATCATGTTAAGGTCGCTGACCACCGTATGCCAAAGTCAGGTCGCATTACCATCATGGTCCATTCTCAGGACTGTAAATATGCTGACTATCTAATGAATTGAAGGTCACTAACCAAAACCATTTCCGGGCCTACTTTTTGTAATTTACTAGGATGGTGTTTAAGTTACCATAATGACAAATATTAACAAAGAATGACGTGAAGTATTAAACCAGATATCGGAAGATATTCTGTCGGTATTTAGATGTTAAATATATATATATATATATATATATATAAGAATAAAGTTGTTATATATAGATAATATTGAATACATTCAAGTGTGAACGATGAATAGACATTGTTCCAATGGATGAAAATAATGGTTTTTTTTAACATTTCGAGCTCTTGGTGGTCTTTAAAAAGACGCAAAGTAAAATTACATGATTGCCCAGTCCTATTTGTTGAGATTCACGGTTGTATGTTTAGTATGTGTGGCACATACGAAGAGCTTTTTAGGTTTGCGTTGCAATTCATTGTGATAACACTACAATGTCGGCATCAGTTGTGCACTATCATAGTGATGTTTAAATGTTCTCAACTCAGGTTCGCATTCATAGGGAAACCATCATGAAATTACCATAGCTGTTGACGTTAAACGATATAAAACAATTACGATTTAGTACCGTCTTAAGACGATTCTTCACCATGCGGTCAAATCTAAAACGGTATAAGATGTCGTCTCTTTATTAGCATCTTTCCGTTTTAATTTTTCATTTCATGCAGGTTTCCTTCAAAAAAATTCAAACTGCGTTAAAGTGACATCTCACTGAAATGTCATCACGATCTGTATCAATCGGTTGTCGGCACTAAGTAACGGTTTCTATAGTAACACTTAGTAAAACGGAGAGGGAGATACATGATCGCTGTTTTGGACAAAAAAAAATGCAGATGTACTCTGACCAAAATTAGAGTGTATGACCAAGTTTTGTAAACAAAGTTTTTAGTTGGTCTTACCCAAATGTTTCTGTATATTTATGAAAAAGAACTGAATTACTTGGTATGTACAGTTTACCAATACTGACAATTCTAAGGAATACAAAAATTGTTCATAGGAATTCTTTTTTGACGTCATTTAATATTAACAAATTCAATGAAAAAGCTTAAATGCTATTCATAGTTAATAAATATTTGTGATGAAACATTCGCACAGACCATTCGTCCAGTATTTAGCAAATTCGGTTTCATCAAAATAATTTACCAGTAATGTCTGAATCACCATTAGGTATCGGAATATCCCAGGCGTTTTGTATAACTACAATTCCTTGCGTCGTGTATTTAAAAATAGCACCCGGCAAATCCTACTTATTTCCCACGTGTTGCTCAACTGGTCCGCCCCCACGTAGGGCGTTGTTTGTAACAACAGTCTATACACCTCTACAGGTCATTAACGCCTGTAGCATGAGGCATATTAAAATTTAATTGTGAGCACACACGCTCTTTTACGGAAATGATACAATTATTGAATTTCATGGTATGTTAGCCAACATACGACAAAACCATTTTTTTCATACTGACCTGTCGTATATATTGCTAAAAATAATCTTTTAAAAAATATCTGTTCCTCAACGAACCTGATTTTGAAGCGAAAATCAGTGAAACTTTGTGGTTAAGTATCATTGGTAGGAAATAGGCGTTTTCCTTTATTTTAAACAAATAACAAACATTAGTAATACTTTTAGGAGGTTGAAAAGTTGTGCACAGGGCTGATTCATTTTGCTTTATTCTGATACTTCTCACCACGTGCAGGTCTACACAAGTAAACATTTTATGTATAGCAATGAATTAGAGAAATGACTGATAGCTTACATGAGGTCAATTAACAGACATCTCTTGTTCGAAAATTTCGTAACCCACGCAATTTTTAACTGGTGGAAAAAATTAAAAGAAATATTTGTTTATCAGAAAATACATTTTCTGAAAGATATCGTCGGTCCTACTTACAGAAATATTCTTTATTGCTGTTTTCTTACAAACACAGAACATGTTAAAATATCTTGGACTTTTTTCTAAACATATAAAAAAATACCTACATAGTTCATCCAGTTTTATCCGCCAGGATCTTTCTCTCGGCACGAGAGCCGATAGAAGCATTTAGAACTTATTACAGTATTTTCATATCATTCATAATCTCCAGGATAATCATATCTTGACTTCACGCGGGCAGCCATATTGCTGAATACGGGTACTTTTGACAGCACGAGACCGACAATCAACATTAATTTTCTCGGTCGGCATGTTTGTGAGAGACCATGACGCTTTTGATGTAAGCCGTGTGCATTTTAATCGTAAGACCTAATCAACCACACACTACCAGTGGGCCAACATATTTGTATGACTGAATGTATTTTTAAATCACAGCATGTGTGCTTACGTTTTCCCTTTGGTCTCGCCCCCATATATCAAGGGCACATTTATACTTTTGTTGTGTAAATATCAAAAACATATTTTTTTTTCACTCAAATTCAATACAACTAGCACAAAAGTTATTGTAAAAGGAGATTAGAATAAGATATTCCTATTAAGTAGATGTAAATTCATTCATCGCAGGTAAAACCCAGGTTATATAAGGTTATCAAAGAGAAAAACTTTTTTCTTCAATTTTGGTTTCGCCTTAAGAAACACGTTACTTCGAGGAAATCCGTGTAATGCTGTTATCCAAGTGAAAATTTCCCATGACCATGATTCTTACAAAAGTTAGGCTCCGGCATGATGGTGATAAACCAGATACGCTGGTTTGGTGTCTTGCTTCCATAACAATGTAAGAAATTAACTTTAAAAAAGGACATGAAAATAAAATGTTTTTAATGATATGACCAATCGCAGAATTGTAGAAACTAGGGCAGAGTAGACACTGAAGAAGTACAATGAGAATAAGACCACTTGTTGCTGAAGGGTAAGCGTCTTCTCGATCGACGATACCTGCCATTTAAATACTGGTCACCCCAAGAAAGCAATATCACAACAGCAGGAAAACAAGAATCGGACACGTTTAATTTTTAACCAGGAAATAGAATAAAATGGATGTACACGATCAGATGGTCAATAAATATGTTATCTCAAGACGAAACAGCAATTTATCTTAACTTTTTAATGACTTGGTAAGGTTTTATGACCTGCTTTGAAAAGCCCTTCGACAAATTCAATCAAAATTGTAGAATTCTTCGAATTAAACGAGGTCAAGCCAACATATGCATTACTCAAACAATGTACAGATTTACAAAATACAGATATATCGAAATCTGCAATCTTTGGAAACGAAATCATATTGCGGTGTTAAAGAAAGGTAAGTGTTTTTTTTACAATAGTAGAGTCATTCACAAAATTGAATCAATTTAAAATCTGATGAGAGTGTAAGAATTGAAATATGACTGTATCTTGCATTTCAGGTACACGTAGTTTTACGACTAGCTCTTAACATCATATCCACGACCATAAAGATAGTATTTATCCGCATATCAGCCACACGCCATTCCAAACGTCATACGTATACATCACTGTTTTATGTTTTGCGGGGGTGTTTGTTAGTTCAGTGATTTACCATTTCGCAATGACAAGTCCTTAGTCATCAAACTATTACCTGGACATCGTATTTAACAGATTTATCACACAAAATGATTCATAATATTGGTATTTACTCTAATCGTTCTTGTGTTATTTATGCCAAGTTTCATTTAATGGAATTTCCATTTCAGTTTTGCGGAGGTACATCATTATGTGTAGGCGTTTCCCATCTATAACATCACTACCTTTAACGCCTTCACAATTTTTATACATACTCTGTTTTTATATATTTAAAATTTTCTTTGAAATTCGTGATTTTTAGAATAATATGCCTGACGCAATGCTAACTCTACAGTATGATTACACGAATTGACTCAAGAGGTTTATTCTGCATGCTTGGCGTTAATTCATTACTTACTGGTACAAGATTGTATGAGATTAAAGAAGAGTAACTGAATATTACTCCATTGGATCATTGTCTGAGGCGACTAAGTTTTGGGAACTAATATTTTCTCTAGTGTCTCTCTTGACATTTCCTCACATTTGGTCTTAAGTACAACATTTCCTTGACAAGAGACATTATAACTGACCATGAGTCGTATCCTGCTTGGGGTCTTCGGCAGTACATTTCAGTGTGGCAGCACTATAAATTCGTCTATTATACATAATCATTCCATGCACTCACCTTGCATACATTAAGAGGCCGTCCTTAAATGATCATCGTTTTTTATTAGACGTTAAACAGAATATGATCAATTTTCACACTTAAAAAAACGTTCATACTATCGTGGACAAGTTCGAGTTTCACGGTTGTTGAGTCAGGTAAAAAGTTACTAACTATTTCTTAGCAAATCGGCTTCAGTCCTGAAAGGATTTTTGTTATCAATGTAATGGACAAGCCTCAATCCTTTACACTTACCCATAATACATAATTACATATTGGTCAGTTTTCTGAAGATGTAGCTTCGAGTGTGTTTTTAACCCACGAATTTTATATGCCCACAAACTATAAAGAAAAAATTATATTTATCCACGAAATTAAACTTCCACGAACCGGATTTTTTTCATATGCACCGAAAATTGAGCTACATGAAAATAATGTGTGTCATAATCGTGGTTATGATACGATTGTTTTCCTGTAAATCGTGTGAATATTGCCTAAGCAATATCATGTTTATTTGTAGTGTTATCAATATGAAATGTATGTACCGTATAGATTATCCCCGATGACGTCATAGACCATGCCTCTCCTTTGTTGAATGAACAGTCATTTACTGAGATTGACATTAACATCAGTAACAACTGAAACATAGAAGATATGCTTGTCTTCAAAAGGTGAGGACACTACAGGGATGTTTTTTGTAAAGATGGGCCAAGGAACAACCACAGTAGTGAAGACATGTTGAAGAATGTTGTGTATTTATATGAAGCTTGACTGATGAGCTAAATGTGTGTGTGAAGTGTCTTCCAATGGGTGCTCTGGTGATAATTAAGAATTTGAAGAGTCACTATGCATGTTTTATGTCCCCTCCGTCTTATTGGAGGGAAGCTGGTGTTACCGTCCATCATGTCTCGTTCCAAATCGATGTTGTATTTTGAGAACCTCTCAACAGTGTTGGTTCATATTTACGTTATGGTATCATAAAATCAAATTCTACACCTGATCAGATTCTTAGGAGTTTGAATCAGTACTCACTCATACTTACAGGTGAACCTGTTGCTAGTTCCCTCTATCCCCTATTTCAACCCCCATCCTTCTAGCCCCTCTACCCTATACTCCTTACCCTCGAATCTCTACCCATTCCCCCTAGCCTCTACCCCTACCTTACACCCTGTGCCACTTACCACCCACCCTCTACCCTCTACCCTCTACCCTCTATCCCCCTACCGTCTACCCTCTACCCTCTATCCCCCTACCGTCTACATCTACCTTTTGCCCCTTACTCTCTACCCTACCCTCTAAACTTATCCCTACCTTCTACTTCCTTTACGCCCTATCTCAGCCCCCTACCTACTACACAATCTACTACCCATCTCATCCCCCTACCTTCTACACAATCTACTCCCCATCTCATCCCCCTACCTTCTACACAATCTACTCCCCATCTCATCCTCTTACCTTCTACACAGTCTACTCCCTATTCCAGCTCCCTATCATCTACACCATCTACCCCCTATCCAGCCCCTACCTTCTACACCATCTCCTACCATTCTACTACACCATCTACCCCCTATCTCAGCTCCTACCTTCTACACCATCTACCCCCTATCTCAGTCCCCTACCTTCTACACCATCTACCCCCTATCTCATCCCCCTACCTTCTACACCATCTACCCCCTATCTCAGTCCCCTACCTTCTACACCATCTACCCCCTATCTCAGTCCCCTACCTTCTACACCATCTAACCCCTATCCCAGCCCCTACCTTCTACACCATCTACCCCCTATCTCATCCCCCTACCTTCTACACAATCTACTACCCATCTCATCCCCCTACCTTCTACACCATCTACCTCCTATCTCAGCCCCCTACCTTCTACACCATCTACCCCCTACCCCCTATCTCAGTCTCCTACCTTCTACACCATCTACCTCCTATCTCAGCCCCCTACCTTCTACACCATCTACCCCCTATCCCAGCCCCTACCTTCTACACCATCTACCCCCTATCTCATCCCCCTACCTTCTACACCATCTACTCCCCATCTCATCCCCCTACATTCTACACCAGCTACCCCCCTATCCCAGCCCCTACCTTCTACTCCATCACCTCCTTTCTCAGCCCTGACCTTCTACACCATCTACCCCCTATCTCAGCCCCCTGCCCTCTACACCATCTACCCCCTATTCCAGCCCCTACCTTCGACTCCCTTTACCCCCTATTCCAGCTCCCTACCATCTACACCATCTACGCCCTATCTCTTCCCCCTACCTTCTACACCATCTACCCCTTATCTCTTCTACCTTCTACACCATCTACCCCTTATCTCTTCCCCCTACCTTCTACACCATCTACCCCTTATCTCTTCCCCCTACCTTCTACACCATCTACCCCCTATCTCATCCCCCTACCTTCTACACCATCTACCCCTTATCTCTTCCCCCTACCTTCTACACCATCTACCACGTATCTCAGCTCCTACTTTCTACACCATCTACCCGCTATCTCTTCCCCCTACCTTCTACACCATCTACCACCTATCTCAACCCCTTACCTTCTACTCCATCTACCCCCTATCTTAGTCACCTACCTTCTACACCATCTACCCCTATCTCAGCCCCTACCTTCTACACCATCTACCACCTATCTCAACCCCTTACCTTCTACTCCATCTACCCCCTATCCCAGTCCCCTACCTTCTACTCCATCTACCCCCTATCTTAGTCACCTACCTTCTACACCATCTACCCCCTATCTCAGTCAGCTACCTTCTACACCATCTACCTCCTATCTCAGCTCCTACCTTCTACACCATCTACCCCCTATCTTAGTCACCTACCTTCTACTCCATCTACCCCCTATCCCAGTCCCCTACCTTCTACTCCATCTACCCCCTATCTTAGTCACCTAGTCACCTACTACTCCATCTCTAACCCTTCTACACCATCTACCCCCACTACCTTCTACACCATCTACCCCCTATCTCATCCCCCTACACCATCTACCCCCTATCTCAGTCCCCTACCTTCTACACCATCTACCACCTATCTCATCCCCCTACCTTCTACACCATCTACCCCCTATCTCAGTCCCCTACCTTCGTTCCTCTCTACCTTGTGCCCCTTACCCCCAATATCTACTTGTAGCCTCTACCCCTACCCTCTAATCTCTGCCCCTACCCATTACTCTGTGCCCCTTACCATCTACCCCTACCCTCTACTCCTACCTCTTCGCTTAAACCCCTGCGTTCTACCCCTACTCTCTACCTTCTAACCTCTGCCCATGACCCCCTGCCCTCTACCTGTACACTGTGCCTCTTACCCTCTCTTCCCTACCCTTAACCCCAAACCTTCTTACCTCTATTCCTTACCCCCTACTCTCAATGCTGTGTCTTTTACCGCTTATAGGTAAATGCGACCTGTTGCAGCTCCATTTCTTCGTCGTGTGCCTATATTTTTGTAACATTTGGGACTATTTCTGAAAAAAACCACCGAACCCATTTCAATCATGTAAGTACGGGAAACTGCTGACGAGCGGAGACCGGGGACACTATTAAGATTCCTTAGTTTTGACGTTTCATATTATAAGTGTAGCACTTGTTAGGCAGTTGTCAGCATATCATGACTAATGGCCATATTTTTACTGTACTTGTACGATGAGAGTGGCATACAAACTGGTATGTAAATCGAATTTTTTTTTATCTTTGAACGACCGTCATTTTAGCTTAAAATCATGAATACGTCATGAAATTTCTTACTATTGTGGAAAATTCAACCTAAAAATGAAATCACTAATGCTTTATAATATCAGTCCGATATTCATCGTTCCATTCTAAAAATATCTTGGTCTTTAGCCAAAATTCCATAATTGGAAGTCACCCTAGTAAGGTCATCCTTATAGAAGTAGGCATCACCACCAGTTATGAATAGATACAATCTATGATAGTTTCCAGGCCGATTTCATCTAGAATGATAAGCCAGTGCAGTATTGCGAGTACATAGTAAGATATCTGTAAAAATGGTAAAATCATTTTATCCATAAACTACTACGCCTTGTCAGTGTTTCGAGGCTGCAATTATTCTCAACATTATATTTCTTTTTGAAGTTATAAAGTGATGCAGGCTGCATCTTGTCGTGGGTCGTAGGTCACACTTTGAAGTACAGACCGCTTCTGCTTTGCTCCGAATGCACTTTAAAAGTGTATTCTTTTTTTTTTTACTACGCCTAGGGGTCACGTGATTGTAATGACTGCGTGTTTCAATATGGGAAAAAAAAACGAGATATACGGGCGCATCTCAGATAATTTCTGTAGACATATCAACCACGTGTTATTACCGGTGAACATTAAAAGACTATATTGGGATTAACGAGCATTCTTTAACATCCATAAATAAGATTACTAAAACCATTATAATTACACGACTATCTAATTCAAAAGTATTCAGGCAATTTTACGTCTACCGGAATCCAAATGACGAAGAAAACATTGGGTCTGTTGTGGAGGAAATACTAAGTATCCTTGTGTTAAGCAGAGTAGGATTCCACTTTACACATGATGATAATGATAATTCACGTTGATTCCCTCTCGAAAACCTTCCAACACCAGCTTACCTAGAACACCATGACAACCCAAATAAAGGAATACCTTAAACAAAACTTCATTTTAATGCTTAAACAAAAGAAAAGCCGGTGTAGATATTGATAGCTGACGTGCTTTTGATTGTAGAAATGGTTATGTACTGTACACCGTTTCTTGTCTGGTACAGAGCAAAGAATATGATAAAAACTCGGTTGAAGTTGAAAGGGACACTTCAAATTATGGTCCCGTTATGTTGTGTTCAGCCACGCCCACTACAGACCGGCGACTGGTTGCCATACTCTATAATGGTACTACTGTTCTCATTCTTAAAAAACAAGTTAAACGTTACATGAATTCCTTCATTCCTTCTCAGTGATTGACATGATGTAGATACAACATATACTATAAATAGACAAGAGGTCAATTAGTCCAATATTTGGTTATATCCGGTTTTGCACCTAATTCTCCACTTCAGAGCCTGTTGCTACTTTCTCACCCAGTTCAACACGAATGATATTCGCCGAAATGTATCGGATATATTTGACTTGAGGTCACATGAAAGGAATACACAGGAAGCTACAGGATATAACATCCAAAACAAGTGCCTGGATAAGTTTCTCCAACTCGTTATGATCAAGTGTATGTATTTGAATTAAGTCTGTGTAGATATAAGATACTTCCGGATTAATGTAAGGAACCAATACTGTACAGGATATGTAAAATATTTCGTGTTTTGCAGAATTGTGGTTTCGATTTTTAACAACTTGCATAAAAATACACGAACTAAAACAATTTTTAATTACCTATTTCATATTCAACCCTGACTGTTATTAATATCTGATACCACTGACTGCCTGTTATTATGGCAACTTAATACATATAAAGATTTTATTAATGCTGCCCGAATCTTGACATTTGTGAAATTGTCTAATAAAAGTATAGCAAGCCTTCAAGTAGATATTATAGGCCTAGAATTATACTTCCCTTGGGTACAATAATTTACAATGGCAATCCATTAAAATCACATGAGATTTCATCAATATGTAGCTCAACTTGCACATGCGGATACATGCATTATTTTTGTGGTTATAACACGTTTTAGAGGCGATGATTTCGGTGAGATAAGTCAGCAAATATGGTCATGCTCTTTTACTGAAAAAACATCTCTCACGCTACTTTGTTTCCATCAAAACTGATATGTAGCTTGCATAGTAAAAAGCGTTTTCAACCAAGTTTGCAACTGAAAATGTAATGACATAAACGAAACGTTTCCACAAGTCTTCAACTATTCAATTATTACAATACAATGACCGATATACCGTGAATTAGTTGTTGACATCAATTAATGTGTGTTCAATTTTATACCGGAAGCCATTACTATTTTACACTGAACCGGAAGTAATTACAGACAATTTACATGCCAGCGAGGGTTTCCTGTCGTCGTTAAAATAGTTGACCGTAATATATACATGTGCAGTGATGTGGTCCTTACGACCTTACCAGATACATCAACAGATCTGTCGCCAAAACACACAAACACACGTCATGTTGTGTTGTGTAGTTAAAGCGTTACACTGCTTATCAAACAAACGAACCTGTACCACCATGCATGTTAATGGTGTAACATGTGTTATTTTTCGTGTCAGAATTTAAAATTTCCCTCTTCATTTCATTTCCAGAGAGGCGATAAAATGTGGAACACTTGTCATATTCATATATTATCACATTATTATCATCTTTCTACTGATGAGGAGTTGATCAATATATTCTGTACATTATTTGGGAAATAATAAATCTTTGAGAACAACAGTGAACAGTTGGTCGCCTTCAAAGTTTTGCCTATTTGTAATGAAATGCTGTACTGTACAGATCACGGAACTATGACAACAGATACTGATGAATCAAAAGAATGCGACACAATACATGTTATTATGCAATTTGGCAAACTGTTTTCTTTATTTTTTTTTAAAAAAATATTCTCCTATTTTTCAGCACCTGTCACAAGAAATTATCTTGTCATTCTGATATGCGAAAATAGCTGAGTCAGACTAAGACAAACATACAACAGAGCTCTTTGGCAGATGTGCAGTCGAACAGATGTCCACTATGGTAGATAAAGCTAAGTATTCCCTATAGAATTCTTATACGGATTTGGAACTTTATTTCTGTAAGCTTATAAAGATGAATACTTAAAACCCTTTCTAAAACAAGTTAACATCAACATCTATTACCATCATTATAATTATAATCCATTTTACTGCCGTTAAGTTAACTAGACTTTAGAAGTTCCACTAGGACAGATAAGAGAGAAGATGAGCAGAGTGACAATGCTGATTAAGTTATTAATTAACCCAGAAACATACGAGTGTATGATATATGGCTACGTAATTCGCGTTCCTCATCCACCAAGGAATGCGGACGGTATCGTCTCAGCAGCTTCTAGACGTATGTACATGTAATCTGAAGTGTTACAACACACAGGTACACAACGCAATCATCTATTGATACAAAATAGCACGTTAACGGAATTCGTGCGCAATCCAAAATGAACAACTACAAATACCGCACGTGCAGTTAACATACACTGAAGTACGCGCATTCCCGATAAACTAATTGCAAAATCATTTGATGCAGAAAACAAGAAAATACCAACATGTGAACATAGTTATAATCCAAACTCAGATTCAATAAAGCTATTGCAAAACATGAACAAAAGAAAGATTTACATAGGGACTCCAAAAAAAGTACAAAGATAATTAGACCAGGTGTTCCGGAAGAGTAGGCGTCTTCTGCTTCATCGACGACACCAGTTAAAGTCGAGAAAATGATCGAATAATTTGGATCACGTTATTTGTTTGTTTGAATAAAGTTTTACGCTGAAATGACAATATTTTGTATCAAAAGCATCAGCACATTCTCCATTCATGAAGATCTATTTCACAAACTGAAACGAAAAATAAACGTCATTTTGAAGGGATTTTTAGCCTACAGTGGATTGAATGCCGACTATATCTGTACATTACAGTGCTGTTGCCCGAAACTCCTGAGCTATGTTGGTCGTGGAGGCAAGATACCCTTTTGAGTGCAGAAAGTGCCCTCGTGTCGGTTGTGATTAGATATACAGGGCGCATACTCTTCCGGAGCATGTGGTGATATTGGAATGTCTTGGACGATCCCTGCCAATCTGAAGTTAATTGTCGTACGAAAGGCGCTCTACCACGGCTGGCGGTACGGAATGTTCTCTCTTTCTGGAATGTCTTCTAATTTCTCCAGTATCCTGGTTTATTTCGATTCTTTTTAAGTGTTTTCCCTTTCTTTGATAATTTCTTGTT